GTGTTGTGTATTACTACGAGAGGACAAGACCACAGGTGGATGAACACGAATACGATGCTGCCTGCTATAGGTTAGTAGGGTGCTACAGTAGGTCCACGGCGGAAGGCAAGACCATGACGGAGGAAGGCACAAAAACCGCGAGTTCAATCTCAGATTTGCTGCAATCAGCGAAGGACTACGAATCAATCGCGATGGTGCAAGTAAAACTCTTGGGTTTTGTGACCAAATTTCAGAAAAAAGTTCAGAGAATATGGGTTCAATGGGACACTGCAGGTCTTCGGGTTTTTGTGCAGGTTTGGTTTTTGCAGCCAACCATTACAATGGATTTTCTGAGGTTCTAATAGGATTGAGTAAACCCTCTGGATGTAATTCGTTCAAATTCTTATAATGGTAATTATAGTCGGGGAGTGAACTTAGTGAATTTGAACGCTGAAATGGTTCAACGGCAGATCGAGTTTTGTTCTCTGCTGAATAAAATGGTGTGGGGAATATAGTTCAAATTGTTAGGTTAATTTAGGCTTGGGTTCAAACGAGTTGTAGGATGGAATTTCAAACATGCTATAATGTTTGAAAGTTTGGGTATCTTTGTGGGTTTTGGGTTCTGCAAGAAAATTCTCATATGCCAATTCTAAACTTTCGATCAAAATCGGTTGAATATTTTCCTTATCCACCAACGTCCTATTCCCTAATTTCTTCTCAAGTTAAATCTTAGTAAGAACATTGTTGGATTCAGTATTTGATGAAGAAGAAGTCTTAAATGTAGTTCGAGACATCCTCGGATGAAAACTGGGAAAATTGTTTTGATTCATGAAAACAAAAAACTTGGCTCTGAGGCCAATGATAGAAATTGGGTAGTTCACAGGAACAACCAGTTTTGATTCATGAAAACAAAAAACTTGGCTCTGAGGCCAATGATAGAAATTGGGTAGTAATCACACAAGGAAACCAAGTGTATTGGTTCCTCTAAGAGAATAGAGATGAAATAGCGGTTGGAGAACATCCATCAATTTGTAATGCCAAGAAAACACCGTATAATTGTTTCCCAGATTCTCAATATGTAAGTTATAAGTGTATTTTATTTGAAAATATGTGTATTTAATTTTAACTAACATGTTTTCTTTTCCTTTTATTAATATTGGTAATTGAATTAAACATTAAAATCTGTTACAATATTTCAATCTAGATGTAATTTTTTTAATATTTAGGCTTATTCCTATATTCAATTATAATATAAAGCTCCTTATAGAGATGTATTTTTTAGGGTGTTGAATGATTCTCAAAGCTTCTAAATGAGTCCTAAAACATTTCGGGATAAGCAGAAATTAATTGAATAATCTCTCATGTTTTGTCCAGACCTCATAAACATGCCTCTTGTTCTATTTTAAGCTTATGATCTTGGAGAATTGTTTGGATTTAGGTGGTTGTCAGGATTAAGAAGAACTATCTCCAGTTGGATTTTTTGATGGTTGGAGAAACACATTTATTTTGTATTAACCACTTTTTTGACAACTCAAAAGACTAAACTTTTTTGAACTGAGGGATGTAATTTTGAACCTAAAATATTAAGTTCGAGTAGCTTATTATGACATTTTGCATTTATTTTTATTACATTAGTATTTTTTCTTAAGACTGTCTTATACAATAAATTCAAAACTAACAGTAAAGAAATTAACTAAAATCATGGTAAGATATAGTAAGGATAAATATTTATAGAGTTTATTTTTGGAATTTTTAACATTCATTGAATCAAATAATAAATTACATTAAAATATAATAATTAAGACTTTAATAATTAGTAAAAAAAATTTGAAGCTGTGAAACCTACAATTAAGTTTTAAAATTATTTAATGATGCCACATATGATGGCATTTAGTTTAAAACATTTGTCTTTTTAAATACTATTTTTACAGTAGCTTTGGATCTCATTTAGAGCTCTAGCTACAATTCGATTAAACATGGTATATTCTCTTTAATTCGAGATTCGGACCTAGAGACCGTTACTTCAAATTCTTAGATTAAAACTTAACATTTTAGTTTTTAAACTTACTCCAACTTGCTCCACCTTGGGGCAAATATGAGTAATCAAAACCAAAAACTCATTTCTGGGACATTTAGCTAGGGACCTTGGTTAGGCATTGGAGGAGCCAGTGTAGATAGTTTTATATTTATTTATGGGCTAACGTGATCTAAAGCCGGTAGGGTAAAAAATCTAATGGTCCAAATTTAAATCAACTGTTAGTAAAAAGCAATAAAATTACATGTTTATAAAAAGAGCGGGAGCGCGGTGAACGGTAGACCGCGGGAATCTGTTTCGAAACCTCACCATTCGGCGGCAACCAGTTCCTGGCACAACGTTCACAAAAACCTGCAGCCGCTCTCAAAAGAGCAGAGGAGAAAACCACGCGAGTCACCAGCCTTGCTTTGAGTTTTTCGGCAGCTTCTACGGTCTAAAAAAAATGGAAATGTCCAAAAATGTACGAAACCAAAGCTTAAATATAGGCTTACCTACTAACAAAGAGGACTCGCCATAATAAGTCCACGTGGTGAGTCACATGATTTTTTCCCCAGTTAATCACGATAAGATTATAAACCATCGACGGTTACTTTTGTTGCTGACCCTTTTGACAGTGGCTCCATAGTCAATGAGGTTAGGGATGGAGTGCCTCCATTTCAAATCGTTTCCTTCATGCATTCCAACCTGATGAAATCGAGTTGACAATATCTTCGATTATTGGAAGAACAATCAAAACCGCATTTGGCACTTTCCCTTCACTCTAAGGAAACAATTCTTGTCTTTGCAAATTATCCATTCGTTTTTCTGACAATATTGTGCCATGATGACATTCGCAATGGACTAGAGCATTGAAATGCACCTACAGTATTTCTATTTTAGCTCCATGTGTCCATGTGACTGCATCAAGTTTCTTCATTATGTTCTAAACCATGACGCCGTGACGTTGTAAAACGTGCGTAAAACAGCTTGATTTGACCAAAGTGCTTTTGTCAGGGGAGTTTTACTAAACCCCTCAATGTCCACAAGTATTACGAAACTGCCACTTAAAAGCTTAAACTCAATAGCTTCCTACATAAACTACAAGATGGATGATAAAAAAATTTAGGTAAATTTGTAATTTTAAGTTTGTGATTTCTTGATTGGCAAGTTACTGTTTGGGATTCAGATTATAAACATCGAGGTTCTTTTTGTGATAAACCATCATTTTCTTTGAGTTAATTTGGAGCAATTCACTTGCATTAATTAACTTGAAGAACATCAAACACCACAGGTACTTTCCCTTCACTTCTAATTTTTCTTTGCAAATTATGCATGTTTTATGGGTGCATGATGAGAATTTTGAAATGTATAAAGTATATAATTTAGCTCATGTGTAATCATCATTTTCTTCATTATGTTCTAGCTGACTGTTATAACGTGCTACTTCTAGAGTATGTCATACTCGTTGTTCCGCCAATTGTGTGGCGCTTTAATTTGTCAAGTTGGCCTTATTTTCTGATTTCATTTTATGTTGGTTCAAAGAGCATTCAAATTTAATTCATTATGTCCTTCTTGAAGACTGTACGTTTTCTTAATAACTATAATAATTATAGCGCTGATGATATAACACTTAACATTTGCACTCGTGGAAGAAATTCAAATCTTACTCACTCTCCTTTACTAGATGAAAAAAGAAAGAAAATCTTAGAAGGCATGCTTGTGAAAAACAATTTGGAAATTTTGAGAAAGTTTAGTATCTTGTTCTAGAAAATACTATGGCTTTTCCCTTTAGTTTTTCTTTCATTCTTATCTAATATTTGATGTTTATCAGAATCATAAAGTGAAATAACTAAAAATGAAAAGTTGATAAACATGACATTAATTTGAGTTATAAACAAAAATGTTATCATTTATTTTTCTCAAGAGATCGATTTAATTTAAAGTGAGTTGATTCAGATTTTCTTAGTCTTTCAAATAACCTTTGAATTTATAGTTGTTTGACTAAATAAATTAAACAAAATTAACAAATAAAATAAAAAATGAGTCTATAAAAAGAGAAAAGTGTATGTTTATTATATCCATAATCTAAATTATGAAATTGGATTAACCATCACGGAATGGCCTAGACGTTCAGAGATTAACGATAAATTTTAAGTCCGTATTTTACATGACACGTTTTGAATTTGTTTCTTGGTACTTGTGAATCACACGATGATTTCTAAACAAAGTCTGAAATGCTTCTAGAGTATTTTTAACCCCAAAAGATAAATTATAGTGACAAAACTACCTACCGATCTTCTTTTAAAATAGGCTAAATTGGATTGTTCATCCCTGTGGTCATACGACACTTGCATGATGACTTCTGTGGTGAAAACTAAGAATTAAACCCCTGTGGTCTAGAATGTTAGCAAATTTAGTCCAAAACTAAGATTTCTGTTAAATGACTGTTAAAAGTTGGGGTAAAACTGTATTTTCAGTTCCAATTGACATTGAATTGGGGCTTTTTTTATTTAAAAAATTAAGCATTATTTTTTTTGTTAATTGTTATAAAAAAATTATTTATTTTAAATGTCAATTGAAACTGAAAATACAGTTTTACCTATACTTTTAACAGTTATTTAACAGAAATCTTATTTTTGGACTAAATTTCCTAACATTCTTGACCACAGAAGTTTAATTCCTAGTTTTTTCACCACGGGGGCCATCATGCAAGTTTCCTATGACCACGGGAATGAATAATCCAATTTGGCCTTTAAAATAATAAAATTACCAAAGCGGATTCAAACTTTGGACTAATCTAAACTAAAAAGTCATGATTAGAAACTTCGTGAGGGTATTTGAGTAATTTAGACTGTGGGTAGGGCCCTCTCAAACAGCTTTTAACCCTCTGTAAACAGTACAAATGCAGCTGTTTTACCTTTTCTTGGTCCAAGGGACCATCACTTAGACTTGTTCTGCACTGCTTTGGCTTTTGCCATAATTACTGCCAAACCAAACAAAACCAAAAAGCAAAAGCCTTTGGTCTGAAGCTTCCTCCGCCACCCCCAATCCTTCCAACAAATTCAGGGTCAGGCGGTAACTGTTGCTTTGCGCGTTAACACTGTTAACTCAGCCACATACACAAAACTCCCTCACAGATTTTGGAGAGAGAATGGACATTGCTTCCCGCATTTTCCATCCCCATTGCACTCATTTCTCCCTCATGCGTGCAAGTTATTCCCAAAATCTGAAATCTCAAAACCCCAAACCCCATATTTTCTTTCCCATTAAAATCCTTTTTTTCTCTTCAAATTTTCTCGTTCATCTCTCCCACCACCTTTATTTAATCAAAACCCATCATCTATTTTATCGATTTTTTTTTATTCTCCTGTCAAAGTTGGAAATCTCTGTTCATTTTGTTTTGGGCTGGTCTTGTTTATTGAGGTCGGTTGGAAAAGCTCAAAAAGTTTGCTGCTTTTAATGCTTTTACTCACTGATTTGTGGCGGTGGAGTCTTCAAGGTTGATTTTTTTGTATAAAAGGTAGAAATTCATTGGATTTGGCGAAGTGGGTTTTGCTCAAATCTGCATGTTCCTTATTATTTTGTCTGAAATCTGGGGTTGGAGATTTGATTTGGGGAAGAATTTCATGGTTTTTTATTTCTGGGTTTCTTCTGTTTTTGCTTGTTTAGATCTGGATTGAAGCCATGGGAAGCCATATGAGCAAAAGGAGCGCTGAAACATCGTCATCTGCTATCAATCTGAACAATTTGCAATACACAACTGATCAGTTGACTTCATATGAGGCAGCTTGCAAGCTCGATGCAGACTTGCAGTCCTTCGACACGAACCTCCATACCCGGACCAATCAAGTCATCAACACAATCGCAGCAGGAGTCGAAGTCCGAGCCCTTTCCTTCGATTCCTTGAAGGAGGTGACAGGATGTCTGTTGGAGATGAATCAGGAAGTTGTGAAAGTTATCTTGGAGTGCAAGAAAGACATATGGAAAAATCAGGAGTTGTTTGAGCTGGTTGAGGAGTATTTTGAGAACAGCTTGCAGACACTGGATTTCTGTACTGCATTGGACAAGTGTTTGAAGCGAGCTCGCGATAGCCAGTTGCTTATTCTCGTTGCGCTTCAGCAATTCGAGGAGGAAACCGAAATGGGAGGCAGTCGATACACGAGGACTTTGGAGGAATTGAAGAATTTCAAGACGATAGGTGATCCTTTTACTGAGGAGTTCTTTCAAATATTTCAATCTGTTTATAAGCAACAAATATCAATGCTCGAGAAGTTGCAACTGCGAAAGAACAAGCTCGATAAGAAGCTCAAAGGTATTAATGCTTGGAGGAAGGTGACTAATATGATATTTGTTGCTACATTCGCTGCCGTGTTGATTTGTTCTGTTGTGGCGGCAGCCATGGCTGCTCCACCCGTCGCAGCAGCTCTGGCCGCTGCTAGTTCTATCCCGATAGGCTCAATGGGGAAGTGGATTGACTCCTTGTGGAAAAACTACGAACTTGCTTTGAGGGGTCAAAGGGAAGTGCTTAGCTCAATGCAAGTAGGAACTTATGTTGCCATTAAGGACTTGGACAACATTCGGGTTCTCATTGATCGATTGGAAATTGATATCGAGTCCATCTTGCACAATGCAAGCTTTGCCATTGAGGAAGACGCGGTGAAAGTTGCAATAGAGGACATTAAAAAGAAGTTGGGAGTGTTTATGAAGAATGTGGAGGATTTGGGAACTCAAGCTGATATCTGCAGCCGCGACATTCGAAGAGCAAGGACCGTGGTTCTCCAGAGGATCATCAAACATTCCAACAACTGAAAATCGACCACCCTCGGTATTTAACCAGTTTCTGTTTTGATGTTTCAAGACATTCGAATTTGTGTTAACTTTCTGTTTTTTTTTTCCTTGTCATCATATTTGTTCATTCTTAGATTGTAACTTGGATCCAGACAATTGGTTGATGTATACAAATAATGTAAGATTACATACATTTTACCTCCTCTCTCAATATTTAGGCAAGAAATTGACTTTAACCTAATTGATTGCTTAGCTTTGATGATACTTTTTGGTCCATAACTTTGTGAACTCATGGAATATCGGAATGTCGTGCCGGAAATATTTGAAGATATTGGCAATGAGAGGTCTCCTTCTGTTTGGATTGCCCATTTAGGCATCTTTCTTCTGTGTAAAGCATGCTTAATTGCTACAATTTGAGAGTTGAAACTTGCAAGTTTCAAGAGGAGTCAGGTTATGGTCTCTCCTTTTATGGTTGGTTTTCAATTGTTCATAACCAACTAAGCTAACTTTGTAATTCTCTTGTATCCATGTCTTTTTCTCCGGCAACGAGGAAAACCCTTGCGACTCATTCAATCCCGTGCGAAAAACTCACAATTCACATGTTTGAGTTTACAACTCGTCTCAGCTGCAACCGTTCACGACTAGGAATAAAATTTCATCTTTTATAATGTCCTTCTTTGTTTTGGTTTGGTTAATTACTTTTAAATGAAAATATGACTTTAGCCTTTAAAATTTAATTTTTTTTTAACTAGAAACCCATTATTAGGCGTCACCCCAAGCAAATTTCTTAATTAGGATTAACTTTACACAATTTGTATTTTTAGATGCCTATAATACCCCAATTACTTATTCGTTATGTACAATTAATTATATGGATATTATTTGTTATCTACAATCAATTAATTAATTATATGGATATTATGTGAATTAATGTCATGAAATATTTTTCATACTATCGGACGAATATTAATGATTCTGGAAGAAAAATATAAAAAAAATGTATAAGGGGGTATTGATGCTATTGCTTACTTTCTTTTTTTAGAAAATATACGATATTCATTAATAACAAATGGAATACGTATATCAATGATGATAGAGTGCAAATAGAAGGCCTCGATACAAATCTTGTCGGGATTTTCAACCCGGTTGAATGCAAAAAGAGTGTCACGCACCAACATAATTAATTAAGAATTGCTATCTTCCAAGAGAAGATCAAGAGTTGCAATAGGGTTCCTCAAACCACGTCATAATGTTATCATAACTCAAGTTCATACATGATAGCATGTGTGCCACCTTGTTCGGCTCCCTTCCACTAAAATGTATAAGGGGGTATTGATGCTATTGCCTACTTAAAATATTGTAAAAACAATTTTCTAACTTACATATATAATGAGTAGGTAAATTATTTTAGTTTGCGCACTTGCTTATATAATTAAGGAGTAGGTAAATTATTTTATCACATAAATTAATTTATATTAAAAATGGCTCCATTGAACAAATACTAAATGATGTAGTTATTACATATGGCAATGCATTAGATTGTTGGAAACTTAAAAAACAAATTGTTGTTAAAATTGATTTCTTAATCACAGATTAGGATAATTTGGTTAGAGTAGTTGACTACCATAAACACTAATTACTTTTTTCATCATTCCTAAATTTTTTTTGTAATTATCAATTGTTTTGTAATTATCAACAAGTTGTTCATGTGGTGCTATTTTTATTTTATGATATTTGAAGAGATCTCAACAATTGTTCATGTGGTGTAATTATTTTATGATATTTGAAGAGATCTCAACAATTGTTTATTTTTATTTTACGCTATTTTTGTAATTATCAACAAGTTGTTCATGTGGTGTAATTATCAATTGTTTTGTAATCATCATTCAAGTTGAACGACTATTGATCCAACAATTGTTTTGTAATTATCAACAAGTTGTTCATGTGGTGCTATTTTTATTTTATGATATTTGAAGAGATCTCAAATTCGAAACTGTTATCCACCAATGATCTGAAAAAAAATTTAAAGTTTTGTTTGCTTCGCGAGAATTCACTAGGATAGCACATTTAGGGGCTTCATTTGTATCACGTTTGGATGACCTTTGTAGGTGGGATTGTTCTGAGCTGGATTCGTTGTTCAATGTGTTACAAGTTTCTATCCCAATCTAATAAAATCTTCTATCGTTTAACCGAAAAAAAATAAAATATATATAAACATAAACACCCAATCCAACTTGATGCTATGTTGTGTGGTTAATTCATCACCCCTTCTTATATACATATATATATATATATATATATATATATATATATATATATATATATATATATATATATAATTAGCTGTAACTATTCAAAGAAGGGTAAGGCAACCATCTAACCCTTTACCATGGACACGAAGAATGACTTACATACATCTTTCATGTTATTAACATTGCATTGGAGAGTGTTACATCTCTTGTGATTATGAGATAAAAATAAAATTGATCCGAACTCTAGAAATATCAACTTACTTGCACTGTGTGCCTACACAAGGGGTACCTTTTTGACTTTTCGTCTTAATCATTAGGAAGAAAAATATCTATAGACAAAGAGTTAGTTGACAATTTGCAAATATAAGTTTGATTGGGGATTAAAAAAAAAACATGAGTTAGACAAACAAATGATTGAAAATCCAAGTCATATAAGCAAGGCATTGTACATCCATGAAAAAGGAAAATTGCATTTTTGACTCGTTTAATCATTCGTAATCAGATTGAAGGGAATTGAATTGAGGAGTACTTGGATTGAGGGAGAATCAGAATTACACTTCTATTAAAGTTGTTTACTAAACTAGCTGGAATTGGATAAGAATGATATTAGTTTCATATAACTTGTCTACTAATTCATCTGAATCAAAATTAAAACTTGCTTGATTACTAAATTGCCCTCGTTCAAATATATTATTCTTGTACTAATTAATAAAATTTTGTTGCAGTCATATTTAGAATATGAATGTGATTGTGTAAATCCTAGTGTATCTAGGAGTATCTTTTATTCCTTTTAGTAGTCTAATTCTTATTAGAGTTGTAATCCTAAAAGGGTAAGGATTTAACATATCCTACTACTATAAATAAAGGCACAACGGGGTGATACAACACACATCTCACAATTAAATCTCTCTCTTCTCTGTCTCACTACCGCCGACCTCCCTCTCTCTATCCCTTTGGAATAACTCAGTTAAATAGGCCTACAACACGTTATCAGCACGTTCTTATCAGAAGCTAAGGAACTGAATAATCGTAGGAGGAGGCTCTCTTCTACAAAATTCAAAGGCTTTTATGTGTTTTCTACCAATCAAGTACGCTTAAAATAAAGGAAGTTATTTGAAACGTCTAAGAAGCATGAAAACATTCCCCATGATGCATGAACCCCTCTATGTTTATATTTTCCTTTTGATATATATTGTATATGTTTCATGCATTACAATTATATTGCTATGTGGAATTTGTGAGTCAAAGCATATAAATAAATTAGAAGCAAGCTAGGGTTTTTTCAAACCCTAGAGAAATTGAAAAATAAAAAATAAAAAATCAGGAACTATGCGGCACGGTCGTGGCACCGCCGTTGTCCTTCGCGCTAGCCTGCAGCCCAGCTGCGTCGAGCACGCTACCAGGACGACATTGTTCCAACGTCAGGACCATGGTAGGAGTCCTTCAAGCTTAGCTGCGCCTACACGGACACACCGGGCCTTCAACCTGGCTGGCTTACCCGGGCCCAAAGCTCAGCCCATCTCCACAGAAAGCCTACAACCTTCTTGGACCTGTCTATGTATTCTCAGCTTAACCTGTCAGCAGCCTTGTGCTGCTGGGCTTTGTCCCGAGCCTTAAGCCTGCCTGTAGCAAGCCCATGCCGTTTGCTAGGCTTTAACCTTGCCTAGGCCCACTTGCCTACAGCTTTTGCTGCTGGACTTGGCTTGCCCCGACCGGAACCCAGCTTCGGCTGGGCTTCCTAGACTAAGCCACGGCTAGCTTTTGGCTGGGCCTGCACCCGTGTCCAATTACTTGGCCCAATACTAGCAACGTTGGTTGCTGGGCTCCCCAAACCACACGACCCGAGGCCTGCAGCCCTCCTGTGACCCAATATGCCTACAACCAAACCTGCAGGGCCCACTCCCATGTCTTTTTTGACTCGATACCAATTTTTTGGCATCCCCGCGCTATAAATCATGCCTAAAATATTTTTTGGTGCGCCTTGGTTTACGCTAGTTAATTCTAATTTAATAATCACTTGGTTTATCAACAACCGAAGCTAATATGACCTGTTTGTCATTATTTTGCTTCCACGATCGACCCCGTTTGGTCCTGATCTATTGAATTAATTAAAAGTGACTTACAGTCCATTAATTTGATAATTAATCCAAAATTATTGACCTGAAGATCACTTTTGGACATTAATGATTCAATAATTTATACTTTGAACCGTTGACATCCTTTTGTAGTCCTAAAGCTTTCACACTTGAGTTCCTAAAGCAACTCAAATCCATTACACTTAAATTAGCATATTGCATTCTGTGTTTTTGCAGGAACCTCTTCTTTATGAACTAATCGTTGATAAAACTAAATTGAGCATGTAGTTTCATATTTAGTGCATTTGAAGTTTTCATTCAAAACTTACCACATGAAACCTGTAACTTTCATGCATAAATTAAACCAATACATGTCTATAGAACCCGAATGTTCTACGATGTATGCCTATGGATTACCAAATAACTAACCACGTTTTGTTGTACCCTTCGTTTTAGGGACATGTCGAACTTGAACAAGCTTGATTGCACTTCTCTGGAAGTATTTGGAAGAAACTACCTGCAATGGGTTCAAGATGTGAAACTCCATCTTACTGCAAAGGGTATTAGAGCCACCATTGAGGCACCTATCGATGACAAACATGTCGACGAAGCTCAAAAAGCTACTGCGATGTTCTTCATTCGAAGACATATCCATGATGTTATGCAGACCGAGTACCTCGTTGAGGATGATCCACACACCCTTTGGCTTACTCTAATCAACTGATTCGATCACTAGAAAGACATCTACTTGCCTGAAAAGACACGACTGATAACATCTACGCTTCCAAGCCTTTAAGTCCATGAATGAATACAACTCTAAAGTTTGTAGAATCCGATCACTACTTAAGTTCTGTAAAGTGGAATTAACTGAATTAGATATTTTGGAGAAGACCTATTCGACCTTCCATGCCACC